GACACATCTAATGACATCAACTGGCATATGAGAAGGTTTATCCTATACATTGCAGTTTGAGACCAAGAAATACCTAAGAACACCGTTTTGACTTCCGTGGTTCTTTCCCGGGAGGGTCAATGTGCAAACCCCAAGGAGAACGCCAGACCGGTCAGCGGCAGAATGCCGTGCTGCCCGGGGCTCCGGGCCACGCCCACGCCGCAGAACATGTAACCTAGCCCGAAGAAGTACAAGAAGAAGCGCAAGGTCCTCAGAAGTGCGAAAGAAGCGTGTGGGTTATGGCCTTTGGGGACCCGACTGAGCGAACATGAACAGATCGATCCGATTCTCCTTGCAGCTCATTCTCGAATCTCACCAATCTAACGAGGGAAAGTGATGTTGTTGTCTGAAGAAAACAAAAAAACCCACCGACAGGGGTGATGTTGTTTGGAGTGTGACACCGACCTGTGTGGCAAACAGGCGAAGTTTCTGAGGATTGAACCAAAAGAATCTGACCGGGAGTTGAGCCAAGAGTTCTGAGGAGGCATAAATGGATGCAGTTGTAGCGGTTATAGTTATAGCTATAGCTATGTTATTTTCCAAAGCAGGTCTGGCAAGGTTCTAGGTTGCATTCAGGACTTCGCCAAGATTGGTTGTTGGTGGGAACCTCAAAGAAATTCAATTTGGCTGAGGTGGTGTATGTGGGTGTCAAAACAGAACAGTTGCGTTCTCAGCAAAATGTCTCCATTTCCCCGCCGGAGAGACTGGCGCAAAGACCAAAGACCAATCAGAGACGCCCCACAAAGTCCTGATGTTGGAGACGCCCAGCGCCTGGTTGTTATAGCAATGGGTGCTAACAAATGCTGAACCGGTGAATGGGTATCCATGAGTATAAACCACCACCCAAACCCAACCCCGGCACCCCGGCACTGCGGCCGGCTGGACGGCTGAGTGGTTCAGACGGGTCCCAGGTGTACTCCTCCTTGAAGAGGGGCAAAACCACCCCGGAGCCTCAAGTTTCAGCGCTGAGCTGAGAGAACTGAAAGGGGCCTTTCAGTATCCTGAAACATGCGAGCATCCCATCTGCTGGCTTTGATTTTGTGACGGACGGGGCGTCTACGGAAACCACAGGCCTGGGTCTTACGTAGGTATCACCCTGAACCACGCCCCAGGAGGTATCAGTGCGGCACAGACCTTCACCAATCAAGGGCCGGGCCCGGTGAAATCGGAGGACAACAAAACAACCAATGCCGTCTATGGTAAGTTGCAGACTGGCGAATGGCTGTTGGGTTTTTCATCACAGCAGTGCTACACCGGAAAGGCTTCGATTTTTTCAAGTCAAGGCTTCGCATGCACAATCCAGCATCTCTACCAGTTCACTCCAGGTTTGCTCAAGTTGACTGTTTCCCACCTCTGGGAGTGGAACATCAACATCATCTCTCTTATAGTAAATCACACCACCTCAAACAGGAAACCCTCATGTTCCCAACATCTCGCGCTTGCGGATTTCTCTGTTCTGGGGGATGGGACCTAGAACATAGAGCCGCCTTGACCTCCGGCCTACACATGGTACAGAATAAAACGTCTCAACAGAAGTCTCGTGACAGGGGCAATCGGCTTCTTGAGTGGACTTCAGGGCAGCTGCTCATGCTTCAGGGCAACCGATGTCGGTTCATCTGCCCTGCGGATCCTGTGTGCCGGGCCATTCTCTCGGCAAATATCGACCTGCCGCCGAGCCAAACGAGCTGTACGCTCTCGCAGGTTGAGCAAGGCTTTCCAAGATCTGATAGGACCGGGGTCCAGCCTATCAAGTGATCGATTGACCAAAAATGTATCTCCCGGGCAGTACCAAAAAACATGAAACACGTCCAAAAGCATAAAAGGAACACCATTTGCGCTTGGGATCCCCCATACTATCCCATACCCCTTGCGGCCCTTCTAACAGAGTGTGTATCTCTACTAGACTCTATAGGCGGCTGATTGCGCCAGAAAGCGAAAACAAAGAAGGGCCGAGTGGCTGTGAGTGGCTGTGAGAGTGGCTGTGAGTGACTGTGACCCTGCAAGTGGTCCACTGCTGTGGGGGGAAACATGGGGGGAAACCCACTTCTTGGTCGACACAAAAGGCATGGTGAAAGAAAGGCATTCGACACGAAAGGTCCAAACGGCCCATGCAGCCCAACATCGAAGTATTAAGTATACTGATGTATAACTGTATACTTGTTTGTCAAAGAAGGGCATGGATCAGTTTTCGCCCATTCCACTCTGATGTTCTCGTGATCCTGTGCATTTCAGAGAAACAAATCGGCCATCAGCACATGCCCTCTGACTGCGAAGTCAGCCACCCATCCGGGAAATCGAGGCCTCTACTCCAAGAGCATCGGTAATGTTACTTTCCATCACCCTGGCCGGGAAGTGCAGCTGGCAGCTGTTGACTCACATGTCGTGACTGGAAAGTCTGGATGGTTCGATCCTGCATGAGAACATCATCCTCTGAAATCAGTGAAGCAGAGTGCCTAAGGGAGTCTTCGACACCCGGTTGACCCCTGAATCTGACCATCATGTGTTCAAAGTAGGTCCTTATGCTTCGGGAAAACGCTGAGAAAACCACCAATCCCCTTCTTGGAGAACCTGAGAACCTGTTCGAAGTCACCGGCTTTAAAAACCTTTCAATCAACACAGCCGGTGACCCCGGCTCTTGCAGTTCTATGACTCCCAGCCATTCTCAGGCCAGGCCCTCGAACTGTCTACCTGGAAGAAAAAGGGATCTCAGTGGCCTGTTCGGATTGTCATCACTTTAGGATGGCTTTGAGTCCTCAAGCCAACCAAACATGATTGTACTCAACGATGTAAAAACCGTCTCAATGGGTCAAAAACAAACCCCCAAACCCAAGCATCACTCTACGCCCACCGAGGTTTCCGCCCTCTACGCTTCCCTTTTTGGGGGGACACCCATCTTCGGATCGGCAACCAGTGGATGTGCCCAGGCTTCCCAACCCACCAACTCCAAGGACTCCCAGAGAACGCGAAAAAACACACCATGGATCCAGGTTTGCTCTCGGTCACGACCACCCTCAACACGAAAGAAAGAAACACACATATCCTCCAGCTTTGCAGTTCTTGAGAACCCCATCACATCATCGTACCTACATCACATTGTGATACATTGTGCATAAGTTATTTCTCATTTAATGCATTCCGTTCATGCACCTCGAAGTTGGCATCACTCCCATCACCCCTACTACGCGTCACTCGCACCACTCGGACGAGTCTTCGTCGACCACCGCCTGGGACCAGTCTCTGGACCCGGGTGACGTGTTTGGGCCAATGGCTGCGAGACGCCGCGTTCGACGACGAGTTCGTCGCGAATTCCGTCTTCGGTTCCCAACGAGAACGCGCCGCGCGCGGTCGCGAGCTGACCAGCGGGCCCTTCGTCTTCGCTCCCGTGGTCGGTACCCCGCGGGTGTGACCAGATCTCTTCCCTCGATCCAACTGATTTCAGATCGGTCGTCTTTGGGTCGGTCTGGTAGTTCATTCACTCCGAACGAACACATCACATGGAAAGGGATGGGGTTTTTTACCCCCTGGTTCGTAAAGGAAAGCGGTCTTCCGAATGCGGGACCATGCCATCCACTTCTATTGTGATGTGTTCGTCAGAGTGCATCTACATCATGGAGTGGAGTTTTGTAGGTCTTGTTCCAACCACCACTCTGGTCGGCTTGCTGCAGCCTGCAGGGGTGGGTGGCCGAGGGTCAGCTCAAACTACCTTCTAGAGATGCGCTTGCATCTAAAGGGCATGGTTATCGCTGACAATGTCAACTAACAAACCACCGAAAAAGCCCAAACTGGCTTTTGACGACTAACACAGGGAGAGCATGAAATCAGCATGTCATATTAAACAACAATTTGAATGCTGAAATCCAGCCAAACATGGAGCAAAACACAAACACTTGCCATACAGTACCAAATAAGCTGAAACACTGCAAGAAACAATTTCTTGTTGTGTTTCTTCACCCCTTTTCTTTTCATCATCAGCAAGCACCAGTTTGGTAGTTTGAATCAATACATCCAGTTGGTCATCCTCTGGCAACCTCGAGCAAATTTGCCTCTTCTCCTTCTTTTCTGGGGTGGTTTGGACGCAAAACCACAGTGAACAGTTCATCAAACCCGGTTCTACACCCTGAACGGGAATGGATGTCTATCCATCCAAAATTGGTTTTGAGAAAAAGGGTTTGAACATGTTTGAACATGCATGGGTCAAATCCAAAAAAACATGTGAAGAAGGCATAACTGTATATCATATAAGAACCATATATTATATATACTGTATATTACACTGCGTACAACAACACACAGCATCCAACAACTGCGTGCACCTGTGCGAGGGGCGCACTAACCATTCACTGGATAGGCTCCAACCGTACTAAATAGCAAATGGCACCAAAACCATGAACAAATTAGCTTCTCGAATCCCAATATCCTGTCTTGGGGTGAATAGCTCTGATTCTCTGATTGTGTTTCATGATTTTGATTGATTTTTGTGTCTTCCTGGTGGAGCGTCCTGGTCTACTACTACGAATCAGGTGTGTCACATCCTTCACAGGTCTGCTTGGCTCCAACATCCCTGTGGTCAAAATGTTGCCTCGCCCGATCTCAGCGATCGAATCGGATAAGTTCGTCGTGCGATCTCAGCTCCTCTTCCAGGTGACTGGTGACTTGCAAAAATACCATGTTGGAGAGTGTGTCTGGCGAACGTGAGAAGGGGCTTAGAAGGTTTCCGGGCACATAGGTCAGCTTTGAGCAAGAGTGCCAAGACCACCATTGAAGTAGTCCCAAAGGCTTCCAACGTGTTGTTTGGGGATTTCAGAACGGGACCTGCTTTCTCATCCATAGTCTCTAGCACCCCAGAAACCACTACAGAAAGAACTATAAGACTAGACTATAAGTGCTTGTCTGCAACCAGCCTCCTTCATCGAGTGATCTTGTATCCACGGACTGTCGCTTCTTCCCACGGACGACTCGGCCTGCCCCTTTGGTTTGGTTGCAGGTGTAGCACCTGCGATGACAGAAAGCGCAAGTGCCCCAAGAAAAATGCAAAGTCCGATCCACAGGAATGCCGAAGAACATCCTCAGCGGATGGGTCCACTATCCAACAGCGACACCTTCGGAAATTTTAGGAAGAAGTTTGCTGAAAAAAGGTAGGTGAGCTAGCCTTTCTTACTTAAACTGGCCAGCACCTTCAACCAGTCACATATTTGCATTCAAGACCATCGGCGAACTCTGAAATCGCCACATGGAGCACATGCACCGGCGACCTTATGTGTTGCATTCCACTCGACCACGAATGAGCAAGGTGTTCAAAGTTTTGTCTGAAATGTTTTGTCTTTCGAGTTTGATTGAAGTTTGGCTGACGTGTCAACTCGGTGGATGGTCGTGCAGAAGGCAAAACTCGTAAGACAACTCCCCAATACTCCCCTCATATTTTCCAAACCTAGGATGCACCTGCACCACGAAACATCCTCAACATTGCTTCTTCATTAAGAGTGGACAATGTTTGGATGAACACGGTGGATGGATGGAAAAGGTTTGGCTGACGAATTTGGGAAGACACGGTTCGGACGGATGACCTTCAATTTCCTTTCTAAACTCATCTGTTCATCACCTTCAAGGTGCTTCCATCTTCCTGTGGAACAATAGCACAAGAATGGGTTGAGACATGTCAGCAGTTATCATTCCTTTGAGGGCCGGCTCTGGGAGCTTTCCACTTTCAGCGAAGACCGCAACTTGTCCTGAAACCGTGAATCAACGAAACCACGCAAAGGAATTCACATTTGCTAGAACATGGATTCATCAAAAAGGGCAACAGATTGCAAAAGGGTTCACGAGCGATTCCAAGGGAGCCACAAACAACACCAACAAAACAAAGACTCTTGATGATGGTAAGTGAGTTTTCATGTGAAAAGCGAGGCACCCAGGCACCCATCATTGTTGCAACTTGCTTTCTGAAGTTTTCCCGCCCGGTCGGTGAAAACAACTGAAACACCAAATCATACCCAATGAACACTATTGTGACGTTCATTAAAAGAAACACACACACACACCCTCTGCACCTGGAGCTGGTGTAGCCTGGCGATCGGTCTGGCGATCGGATGACCAGGAACAATCGTTCTGGATGACCAAACAACATCACAAGACCTCGCCCCAAAGAGCGAGTCTCCCAGAAAAAAAAGATCTCAAGTGTGTTTTCAAGTCTTGGTCTTGGAAGCCATAATAATATGCCACAATACCTATATAGCGGCAGGTTTGCCTCCATACTGGATGATCTTTGTAAATGTCTTTGATCCAGTCCGTCTTCCAGAACCAACGAGCTCCCAGCTTGGGTTAGGTTGCGACGCATGCCTCTTTGTCTCGGGTCCATTTCCAAGTCTGGAGATCGACGCATGTTCCTATGGATGAATTGGATGAATTGAAGGTGGATCCATAATTGGATATGAATCTGAAAGATAATGTCTTATCAACCAAGCCCTCTTTATCCATATGGATAATAATTATGGAGTGACATTATGGATATAATCACAAGTGATATCAAGTGACCAAGCCCGACATCAAGAACCACGTCTGTTACATCTCCGGGGCGGTATGGGGCGGGGAAGTTCAGCAGTCAATGCATGGAAGAACTCCAAACAAGGAACGCCTTACTCGGCTGAACATGACGCCACAGTATATTTTCCTCAGGATCTGTCCGGAGTGGGGCAGATCCACTGGTGTCACCCTCAGCTCACTTTCCTGGACAGCACTCTAAACAAGGATGTGGCCGGAGAGCCATGAAAACGACTCATACGTCCCTTTCCGGTCCGATGCTGCGGGCTGGCTCCTGAAACATCCGACTAGTGAGTGGCTCCATGTGGCTAGGCCCCCACAAGTCAGCTATCAAAGAAGCTGGGACCTCATCCAACTGGTGCATCTTGGGACTCTTCGAAGTGTCGGCCATCCAGGTCTGAAGTCGACCATTGGCATTCATTTCACCATCCTCCATCCCGATCTTGGCCAATGCATCTTGGGCATGTTCTCCTTCTCCAAGATGCAGTTCGGATCGTCCCCTTGGTGGCCGGTCCACCCTTCTCATCCTCCATCCCCCATTGCCAAGGTCTCAGGTCCACCCTATAGGGTGTGTCTGAATTCAGAGACACCCCGTCTCACGCCGCCGCTTCGGGTCGGACCGATGCGTCGGTCGTTCGCAGGGCGTCGGAGACGCCACATCCGTCCCCGAAAGGGTGGCCGCCGTCGATGGCCCGAAGGGACGGGAGTTGCCTTTTTCCCCCCTGAGAGCACCTTGGCCTTGGCCGCTGAGGCTTTGGGGGCCGCCTTTTTGGCCTGCGCTGGCTGTCCCAGCCGGCGAGAGGTGGAGTTGGAAGCTGAAGCTATACGTGGCAATATCATGCCGGACAACTATATGGTAGATTATACATGATTATTGATTGTGTATTAGAGTCCATAATCTCCCGATACTACCATTACAGGATGATCGGATGAACTTCTACATGGCCATCCCACCTATTTCCCAATGATCCAAATACCATCAACTACCTTTCCCTCCGCACTTCACGGTGACCCGAGACCTGAGGCTTCTGTCGACCGGTGTTCCAAGTCATCTGGCATCAGTGTCCCAAGCAGACCTGATCATGAACCATCTGTTATTATCATCATAATCATATCAGCCTTTCCCACAACCATCTGTGTCACTTCTCTTTCACCCCTGGAACGATATGGACATGTCAAAATTGCCTCCATGTTTGAGCATCTTCTTAACGCAGTAGACAGTAGACCACAGAAGTAGGAGAGAATCACCTGCAGTTTGGGGAATCACTCTCCCAATGGCGAACCGATACACCTTCCTGTCCCATCGACACCCGCCCGCCTTGGATTGATGATCAGCGGACGAGGACCTACTGAGGTCAGTCCCCGCCCCCACGCGGGCTGAACGGTGGTCCGGGTGAACCGAAGCAACCACCACCTACCTTGAAATGCGCACAAGCATGCAAAAACAATAGATCTAAGTTTCAAGGGTAGTGCAACTGAGACTTTTCTTGAAACACCAACACATCCTCCAATGCTTTGTCGAGGTGAGGGAACCGGAGTCGGAGTCGGCAAACACGTCATCAACAGAAGTAGTACGTACTTCTAACACGCATCGGGTTTCCGCCCATGTTCTCCTCACATGGTATCTGCGGGAGGGTACAGGGAAGTTCAGGTGGCGCCCTGGAAAGCCAAACGCATTGATACTTGATATGTGGATCATGGCACCAAGGAACCCTGATGGACCACGAATGGACCACATGACAAGGTCCACCTCCCAGGAGTGCCCGCATGGGCTAAGGTCTTTCGGTGCCATGACAGGAGCGACCCAACCCCGTGGACGTGCGGCCACGTGGAAGAAAACATCGAAACCTCCGCAGCAAGTCCTTGCAACCATGATTCCATGCTGAGACATGGGAGAAAGTATTGAGCTTTCCCGATGAGGGCTCTCTGATTGGCAAGTGTTTGAACATCAGGTGAGATCTGTGTGTGAACACATTTGAGAAAAACCTGCATGCATCATGGATCCTCTTGCGGCCCTTTTCCAAACAACCCAATGCTCATCTGATAGCCACGTTTTGCACCAAACAATAGGAACATGTGCTAAGTGTTTGGGTTAGAGTGGTCCAAATATGTCCAAACCTTCAGCAATACGAAGGCCCTTTGATTTGGCCTAAAAACACCACCTGTGCTGTAGCATGTGACTAATCACATCACCCGTAGGGGAAAAAATCAATCAAACAATTTTCTTCGCCATCCTCGTGGCCCTTACTACTGCCATGTCAAAGTTATATAACATATATATATATAATATATATGTACTGTATAGTATAAGATGTGTGTTCCATTGCATTCATGTTTCTCCCCCTTCAAAAAATTAAACATACAAAGACCCGCAACAAAAATATGGACGGCTTGGAGCAACTGGACCGACCGATGAGCAACTCACATGGCTCATCCGTCTCCACCTGGACCGACCATGTTCCTGCTTCACGGGCACCTGGGTGTGCGAATGCACGGACAGGGAGCCGATCCGTTCATTGGGTGAAGTTCATGGGGAAGAATGACCCACTATCATGGGGAAGAATGCATCTTTGAGATGTGAACTTGGTCAATGCACCTTTCACCTTGAAAAAAATACTTTGCACATATCGAATCACTTCAGTTTCCATAGTACCCGACTACTTGCCGCACTTTGAACATAAACGTTTGATATAGAACACAACTATCAGCTTCGCAAACAGCAAGAGTAGATGTTCCAAATTGATTGCTCCCAAACCTTGGCAGTTGGACTAGAAGGTCAGAAATATGTTCCATCACTTGTCTATACTTGTAATTACTCGTATACGGTAGGAACTGATCCACCTAAGCAACTCATGACTATGGGAATTGTAACAAATGGGTCTGGTTGGAGCGACCTTTGGTCTGGACGGGTCAGTTGTCTCCAGCCAAACGTCACCGATGCGACCTTTGGCAATCTGCCTGCCATTCCCCGGCCCGTTGCAGAGCTGCGTAGTAGCTGCCTGATTCTGAAAGCCACCTCTGTTCGAGCCTCGACCCCGCGACCCATAGTCGGCTGATCCTGAGAAATGTTGTGGATGGTGGCATGGCTGTTGTCCATGACCTTCGGTGCCTTTCGGTTCCTTGCAACCGATGTGCTCAGCACACTTCGACCTCCAACGCGTCACAGCTTCGAAACACCGATACTGCACGATGCTGAGGTCATGCTTGGGCATGTTCTTGACTGGTCGATCGGTCCCTCAAAGCCTGCCACAAGTTCCAGCTTTTGTGTGGGTTGGGTTGAACACAGGTCTAGTTTTCGTAATCATTATCTTTCTCTTGTGCTTGCCAGTGTGCCTGTGCACTCCTGAAATGTTGCAGGTCACCATTGGTAGCATGCTGAGTCCGGAATCCGGACCCAACCCAAAGTCCAATAGGTGCACCCCACCGCCACACCAACAACAGCCCTGCATGAATTTCCCGCTTCTCTCCGCTCCGGCAGCGTGTGTCGTCTAACAATACAGAACTGGCAGAACATTAAAGTGATACCTTTGCAAAGCGGGCATCTCATTCGATCCAAAGGTCTTCTCGCCAGATAGCTGCAACCTATACTATATATATAGGCGTTCTTACTTCTCCATGTGGCTCTGGATCGGCGTTTTCTTTTGCCCGTGCTGGTGCTGGTGCTGGATTGGCGTTTTCTGGGGGCATGCTAGTGCAGGTGGGTGCTGGTGCGGGTGCTGGTGCTAGATCGGCGTTTTCTTGGGGCATGCCTGTGCGGGTGCTGGTACGGGTGCGGGTGCTGGTGTTGCTGCCGCTGGATCGGAGTTTTGTGTGGGCGTGCTGGCCAAATAGTTGACAGCTATGGGGGTTTTTACTTTTCAATGGTGTGGCTCTGGATCGGCATTTCGTTTGCCGGTGGTGCTGGTGTTGGTGCAGGATCAAATCGGCGTTTTGTTTGGGCGTGCTGGTGCAGGTGCTGGTACGGGTGCTGGTGCTGTTGCTGCTGGATCGGCGTTTTGTGTGGGCGTGCTGGTCAGGGATAACATCATGGCATGGCAGGGATGATATCCTCTCATATTGTGTCTGACAAGTTGATGCATGTACTTCTTTGTGGTATGCATTTGCTATCTGGGGGCTATGCTGGGGCAAATGGTGTTCGGTTCAGGTCATACGGTAACTAAACCGGGTCTGACTCCAAAAACGGATCAAAAGACTCTATAAAAGGTCTCTGCTTGAGGTTTTTTACGTCAAGAGACGTGCTTTGTGAATCTGAAGAGTTTGCAGAGTTGGAAACGCTGTGACTTCTAGGGCTTCGTGCCAGTGGGCCATCCTCCTGGCATGTGTGTGTTGCGACCGGCCGCCCTAAAATCTCCAACAAAGACTGAAGCTGAAAATGGTTCCTTGGAAGACTCTCTTACTTTCCGAGAATCTTTTGGTGATGCATTTTTGTTAATTCTCATGTTGTCGAAGGAAGGGCAACGCAAAAGAAAGGAAGGTATATATAACTATGAATAATGAATATTTGAATGTTTAATTGTACCGGCAAGAGACCCCAAACAGTGTGTGTGAAGTCTAGAGGTGTAGCAGCAGAAAGTCTAGAGATCTAGATGCATTGGGGTGCAGAGAGGTGATGGTGGTGATGAAGGTGGGGATCGGATCGTGGTAATGGTGGTGCGTGAGTGAGTGTCATGAGTGTGAGTGTGAGTGAGTGAGAGTGAGAGAAAGAGAGAGTCTGAGAGCGAGAGCGAGAGCGAGAGCGAGTGTGAGTGTGAGTGAGAGTGTGGGTGAGTGAGAGAGAGTGTGAGCGCCGACCACGAAATCTGCACTTCCAGACTTCCAGGTTCACAGTGTGCTGCGTCTGCTTCAAAATCTGCACTTCAAGGTTCACAAAGTGCTGTGCCTGCCACGAAATCTGCACTTCAAGGTTCACAAAGTGGTGCGCCTGTCAAGAAATCTGCACTTGGAGGCTCACAAAGTGCTGCGCCTGCCACAAAGTCTGTTCACAAAACGCTGCGCCCTGGATCAGGTCGTCGAGGGAGATCTCCTGGAAGCAACCTAGCATGGGCGTCGGTGTGAGCAAGCGATCAACGAAGATGCACTTGGGACCTTTGGGTGTCACAAAGCCCGCATACATGCCATGTGCATTCGTCCACAGCGGAATCATGTCATTCAGACCTGGCTTTTCGGCTCCACATTCGCAGATGCTGTCCAAAATGAGGGGTTGTGTCTCCCCGCCAAACTCCTCTTGCGTGACATTGGAACAAAAAGCCGTGTCGTTCCCACCACTTGCCTCACTCCGTGCCAGCTGGACCAGCAACTCAGAGCTGAACTCAACACAATCCCGGGGGGCCCAAGTCCTGAAGGTTCTGATTGAAGAGTCACCTGCGTGGCTATAGGTGCACGGTAACTGTCCTCTGTTGACCTTGCAAGAAGGTACAAAAATCACCCAGTTTCCCAAAGTCACGGAGGCAGCGTCCTCTACAAAAGAGGAGGGCCCATACCATCGTGAGAACGGTGGCATTGGCATAGCGCCAATTCTGATCCTTCTCCAATTGTATGCTACCCATAATGTTGACCAAGTGCTTCGGATCAAAGGCATTGGGTGTCGAGTGGATCTCTTGGTCTGAAATCTGAAAGGTCAATTTTTTTAACTCCTGACAAACGACAAAGGCGACTCCGCTGATGGCCGCATGTTGCCCTTGGAGGTGGCGGGCAAGGTCGGTTGCCCGTTTGAGGCCTTGGCCACAAAGGGTGCATGCAACAGTGAGATGAGTCCGAATCCCTGGTCCTGGAACAAGTGTTGCCATGTTCCATTTTCAATGGCGGCAATCATGGTGGGATCATGTCGAAGGAGGTCTACTTGGTCTGCTTCTGAGTCCAAATGCACACATGAGCCCCTGTCGATGCGACGTTGAAGCTCCAGGATGCAGCAATAACGACTATGGTCTGTCCTCAAATGCTCTCTCAAGCCATCCTCATTCACGAACTCTGCTGCGCAATGCAGGCACATGCTCTTCGAACTGAGTAGCGCCCGCTCCATTTGGCGGAAGGGAGGTGCCTGAGCTGCAAAGAGGCTGGCCAGTTGAAAAAGAACTGGGCGTTGATGGGAATGCTTGAAATGACATGAACAAAGGGGACATGGTGACGTAAGGGTCCCTAGCCACTTATGATTTGTATCTTGCGTGCATACGATCAAACCAGGATGTTCAAGCTGCAAGTGATACTTAGCAATGCGCGTATTAGCAAGGACTCAAACACAGATGCAATATCTGTCGGTCCCTCTCATTTGGGAGAGTGCGGACTGGGTCAAACACTGTCATATGAAGTCTGCTCTGAAGAGATGATGGAGAAGGAGGAATTAAGAACACATTGAAAAACAGGACACGTACCTTGTTCAACGTGTTGTTGCAACTTAGCTCGAGATGGAAACTCATCCTGACAGTGAGCACACCGTGGTAGCCCAGCAGCTGAATCACGATCCGACCTGACAGCGGTTGGCTGTCGATGGGATTGCGTGTGCGCTGTCCATTGATGGCAAGTGCTGGAGTCTCAAAGGCCTGATCACACAAGGAGCAAGTCAATGTAGCCCGCAAGGTCAGCCTATCAGGATCCCCAGTGTGCATCTGTTCAATCATGGTCAAGATCTCCCGAGGTCCGTCCAACCGGATGGCATGGAGAATATCCGTGCTGCTGAATGACTGTGTTCTGAGGGTCTGACGGTGCAAGAGGCTTTGGCACATCCGATGGATGGTAAGGCCCGGTGACTCCAAGTGATACTTCGTGAAGAATTCTGAATGACTGCAGTGCGTCTGAAAAGAATGGTCTCCCAGTAGCATGCGCTGCATCAATGTCATTGTACGAAGAAACTGTCGGAGCCCGGTCTGTTTCAGCCCAACTATCAATGTGCCATAGGGAAGTGATGCGCATACCACTGCCTGCCACATATCTACCTTCTACCGAGCGGACAAACTGCTTTTTCTCCGGAACCAGAAGGCAAGCCGGTGGTAGGCCTGGTTGCCCATCTTCAGGCGGTGCTGAAGACCGCTCGGCCTTCAGTGAAGTGTTGAAGCCGCCGAGCAAAATGAGTTGGTTACGCCTGGGAACCTCTATCAAGCCACTGTTGTTTATGGTTTTACACAGGGCAGTGGAATTGTGGGTGAATTGATACGCACACACTACGTCAAGTGGCCTTTGGGCCATGAAGAATCGAAGGTGCAACAGGCGCCCTGGCCAATGTGCAGTCCATCCAAATGATTCTCTCGGACAAAACCTCTTCCGTATACAAATGAGAATGCCACATGAACATATTGGCGCGCCCTCCGTGCGAATGCAATACCAGTTGCCCACAGTCCATTCCCGGGTGCCTCTCCATCTCGTTTCCACTACCACCAGCAAGTGCAGTTGTTGCGGCTCTGCCCGCCGCCGTCAGGGAGCCAGCGTTCCAGGTGAGGATACCGCATCTGTGCCTGAGAGAAGCCGCTGGACTAATCCCCACAC